TTCCATTGTGTTTATTTATAAAAGACAGTAGCATTAAATCTTTTCATTCTTTTGACTGTCTGTTTCACGTGTAACATTTTCACCAGCCAGGACTTCATTATTTGAAGGCTGGCCTTGGAAGCTCCACCTCTTAGATACGCCCTTCTTTTCTTTATTGTTTTCACTCCTTTATTACCTCGCCTCCTGCTCTGTTTTGACACCACTACGAAAAACAACAATTAAAACAAAGATTTAGCTCTGGAGCTCAGCTTAAATGAAAAATGCCGAGCACACTGATGATGTCAAAGTTAGATGTGGGTGATGCATGACGGAGCTAATTTGAATAGGAAGATACATCTCAGTGTCTATTTGCACGCAATGCTCCATTAAAATGTGATGTGTGCCTGTGAGATGTGTTTAACGCCTGAAACTTTAATGGAGGCTCAAGTTACACTCTCAGGGTAAGCCAGGAGTCCTTGAATAGAAAATTCCTGCTAAAGCTTGAATAAAGATAATGTTGAATCCTGTTAGGGCATGATGCTACTGACTGTAAGCTGTTATATTGCCCCAGCTGACTGAATGTTTAAACAGAAAAAGTAATGCTGCTTTAAAACCTCTAAATGTGATTTACAATACCTGTTAGTCATTACCTCCTCCAATATAATATGTTTATATACAAAATACAATACTATTACACTCTTAAAAGTAAATACTGCCCAGGGAGTGAGCTGCCTTAGTGAAGCTTTGCTACTTGGTTATTCCTGACATGTTGATTTTTTCATTTTTTGTTTTGGACACCACCTCTGCAGCTACACAGTAGCTGGCACATGGAGGCACCACTATGAACTCTGCACCTATGAAATTGTTTTATGCCATGTGTTTATAGCCACAATCGCATTTAACAATGAGAGCGATAGTCATATCCAATCAGACATCTGCATCAAAAAGTTTAAGAAGAGTAAGATCTTTGCAACTATTCCAAAGAGGCCATGTTTTTAAGGGATTTAATGACTGTCAGTAACAGTAAGGTTAGGCCTTCCATACCTGAAAGTCTTTCTTTTACTTTGCTGAGGTTTGAATTGACAATCTGTGCTGAACAAGAAAACATGAACCCAACTACAGAGATTACAGAAACCTAAGCAGGTAACAGTTAATGAACTCTGCTCAACCAGACTCATCTGAAATAGCTTTGATATGAGCACAAGGGGGGAAGAATAATACACGGCAAATAGAAGCATCCATGAAGAGCAGTTTCTGTGTCATAAAAAGCTCTCCTTAACCCCTTCTCTGAAGAAGAAGTAACACACATCTACTGCATTACATACTGGGCTGTGTTGCCAGTGCAAACTCCATTTCACTTTTCTGTATATTCAAATATCGCAATGTGAAACAAAATATGGGCAGGGCGATAAATTGCTATGATAAAAAAAGAAAAGCAAAAGAAATCATCAAAAATTGAAATGTTGTGTGTTGTCTAACACCTCCTAGTTCCATTCAGCAGTAGCGTTTATTACAAACCAAATTCTAAAATGTTGGAATGCTGTGTAAAATGTAGATAAAAAAACAAAAATGATGCTTTGATTTGCATTTCTCATAAACCAAAATGTCAAATTTCAGTGTGTCTGATGACAGAACACTTTTCTACTTTTGCTCGGTCTATTTAAAATGCACTTTGGCCCTGAGAAGACGGCAGCATTTCTGGGTCATGTTCACATATGGCTTCTTCATTGCGTGATAGAGCTCTGCATTTTGCAGAAGCCATGTCTTGCTGTGTTCAGAGACAATGATGAAGTGTTCCTGAGCACATGCCGTGATTTCAGTGACAAAATCATATCATATCTTTTAATGAAGTTCTGCCTCTGGGCCCAAAGATTATGAGCATCCATTATGGATTTGTGGCCTTGTGCTTTGCTGATATTCTGAGACATGCTGCTGCTGTCAATCTCCAACATTTTTCATGAAATGTTAAAATACTTGAACAGTTTGAACACATGATATGTTTTCCATGCTCTATTGTAAATAAAATGTGGGTTTATGAAATTTGCACATCAATAATTCGGTTTTATTACCATTTGACACAGTGTAGCAACATTTTGGAACTATAATTTCCTCCTTGCATCTCTTTGTGAATCATCACAATGTCAGAAGAAAAGTTTGTCTTGTTATAGGTCTTGTTGCATAGCATTAATTATTCTGTTGATTTATGTCAAACAATATTAAAACTTTGATTAACAAAGCGATAATAGCTTCAAAGCAGGCTTTTATTCCTGATGGCAGTTACCAGATGTGATGTAGTTTAGCATTTTTTAAATGAGAACCCATTGATTTGGTGATTGTAAGGGCAAAGGTTAAAGAGGTTAAAGTTTTTCAGATGTCCGTGCTACGGCTTTTTGTCAATGATATCTATTTGTTGTTTATGTGGAGTCCATTAGTAGACTTCCTCAGATTATTTTGCAGTCCTTAAAAAAAGCTTTAAAAAAGTTAAATAAGTACATTTTAACAAATTTTGACACAACCTGAATAAAAACAATATTAAATAACTGTATTACATCTATGTGACTTTGAAATTCATCATACTGAAAAAAGACTGCGTGAATGTAATGTGGGCTTGTAAAGTGTGCCAACACAGTCAGCACAGAGACAACTGAGGTAACATTTGTCTCTTGTAAATTCTGGGAGGGGGCTGGTCCCCCTGGTGGGCGGAGCTTACCTGACAGGTAAGCAGTTGTTGTTCCACGCTGTCTTGCATAGTTGCTACACCGGCAACACCGGCAGCTTGAAGACTCCTCTGGGATTTCTGCAGCCACAGCTCCAGCTGGCTGAGCCTCTCCAGGCACACATGGAGGACACCTTCAAAGAGGCGAGGTCCAGACTGGGATCCAACCTGCTGGTCTGATTCCTGACAGACAAGCACAACACACCCAGCTAAGCCTCTCTGCTCCAGAGTTTCAGGGTAGAGAGGGAGGAAGATGAGGAAAGTGAAGAGTAAAAGCTGACTGGTTCCTGAAGTTTGTAGCTTTGTAGCTGATATAAACAAATATTTCTAACCTGTTTCTTTGTTCTCACTCTACCACTCCCAGTAACTTACCCCCTGCACTGGTTATCTCTCTTTCCCTCGCTCTGTTTCACTCCTCTTTCTTTCTCTCTCTGAGCTCCACCCACCTGAAACCACTTCCTGGAGCTGTGGCAGGGCCGCAGGGACAGAATGACAGAGGAACAGAAAGAAAAGAGCCCTCAGGCGACAGGGGTGGAGCTGACTGAGGACAGAGGGCCAGGTAAGCTGAGTAAGCCTTAAACGCAGGATCCAAACACCCTCCCACTTCCTCCAGAACCTGTCAGGGAAGTTTGTAGCTGCAAAACAGCTGATTGGTGCTTGAATGCTTTTATACATTCTGACGTCCTTTTCACTGTTTTTACTACATTTGTAATCCTTGCTTCACTTTTACAGTGAATTATTCTCACTTTTCACTGTATAAGTTTAAACTGTTGTGTAAAATAATGGATTGATTTCCTTTCATGACTGATCTCTGTGCACACAGTCGTGAAGGAACTGCAGAGGAACCTATGCAGCCTTAACAGGAGGAATGTCAAAATTACTCACACTGTTCATTATTCATCAGCCTTTGATGTCAGGAGGTGGTGTGGAGAATATCCTCTGTAAAAGCATCCCTTACATAGATTATAAATCTGAACTCAGTGCACCCATTTCACAATCATAAAACAAGTTGCTCCCCTCAGCTCTATCATTTATTAATTTGAAACAATAGATCATAATTTTAAAATACTTCCTGACTTTGCTTTTGTAATTTTAGAGGGCTGTTTTTCATCAAATCAATCAAGTATGAACGGCTTGATTTAGTTAGCAAAACGTTAGTATACTGTGTGCATAAAAATTCACTTTCTTGCCACAAATAAGGGATGTTTGGAACACAAGTTTCAAATATTCTGCATGGACGTGAGTTCAAAAATGTAAGTGAGAAGTGCATTAGGGTGCATTCATGATAAATGCAGAGGAAACACATACAGCAATATGAGTAAACTGAGAAAACTTCACATCAAGCTGCAATGTTGCATCACAGGTTAAGATATGAAATCAGTGAGTTGTAAATAAGTTTAGATAAGTTTCTCAGTCCAGCCTGTTTGTCTGCAACCACCACCTCATCCACCCCTGAATGGTTAGGATGTTAGCAGGAGGACAGCGCTTTTGGTGTGCTTCAACTTGATGCCAATTTAAAAATGTATCGATTTCAGTTCAGTCCTGAAATCATAAATGTGAAGGTAGAGGTGCTGATCCTTCACTTATTTTAGGAAGTGTGTGTTGGTCAGTGTTGCCTCTGTGTCAAGAGGGTTTTATCAGAGTCTTTCCAGATGTTAATGTTACAGAACTGGACTTCATTCATGCCTCCATTAATCAAGTATCACTGTCTCCCTCTTTAGATTACTCAATCGCTAATCACTAGCTCTCTTGTGAATGTATTTTTGGAAAGTGTTATGCGTGCTTTATGTACTGTATATACCCCTCTGGGTGTCTGCCCCCCGCCCCCTTCATGCAAACCCCCTCTGTCCCTTCATGAGCTCCTGACACAGAAAAAGAGAGACAGAGGAGTGGATCACTATTGTGGGTTTATTTGTATTTGTGCTCTTTTTTCTCTTTCTTTTAATGATATGCAGACAGAATGGGGGAAAAACATGAGGAAAACGATGTAGTACAGCACATGCCAGGTAATGTAAGATGTCTGCTGCTTTCAGATGAAAACCTTGTATCTCCAAAAATTGTAGATTTTTCTTTCTTTAAAAAAAAAGATTTCCCTAATTGTAAACACACTACTGTAACGTATAGATTGTTTTAGGACGATTTATTAAATGCTTACTTCTGAATAAAAAGTAAGCACTGCAGTGGGATTTACAAAGTTTCCATCTGTGCACAGCAGCCAGTGACTCAGCATTCATGATAAACCAGTGCATTTTCATGGCCAACAGTCATCTTCACAAGATAATTAAGGTCTTAAGTATAAAAGGTGTATTTTAAAGAGTGATAATATTTATTAGTTTATTTATTCATGACAAAGCAGGAATCATTATCCACACTGTCCTGCTGCAAGGCAGTGATCGAGTCAATCACATCTGTAAACAACACACCCCACTTTATGAGCTTATGGAAATACAAATGGCAGATGCACAGAAGCAACTAAAGAAATATTTATTTTATCACATATGCTCTGCATTTGCTGGTAAATCAGCCCAGATGGTAAATGAAAAGGTCAACAATCAAAAAGTTTTAACATTTTAAATCACCATTCCCTATAAGATACATTATAAAACATGGCTCACAATATGTGTCTATTAATACACTTTGTTTCTGTTTTAATAAAACTAGCCCATCAGAATAAAGGTCCATGCTAAGGCAAAGGCTTAATACAGACTGTTAAAAACATCCACCACACATACAAAATACCACCCGCCTACTTTCAGTTTTCTTGGGGGGTAAAACGGTAACCATCAGCAACCACTTCCCATTTGTAGCAGATGTAGTGCTGTGTCATCCTGAACCACGTGTCAGTGGTGTTGACTTGTCAAAGAATAAGCAGATTTCTCTGCAAGCTCAGTAATCCTTTGTCTAAACTCAAAAATAAACTTGAAACATACTTATTTGGCAAACCTCTGCTTTGGTTCTTTCCTGCACTTTAGTTTTTGCCATGCAGTAAGACATAATAAAGGATTCAAATGTAAACAATTTTAAGCAATCATGTGCCATGTAAATGCACTGTGAGACATGTCTAAAAGAACCCTAACATCAGGAGCTCTAGAACTGGTTCTAGAAGAAAAAGTGTCCTTGGTTTAGTTCTACAAGAAGACAGGAGCTCTAAGTTTTGCTGTCAAAGAAAAACAGGAACAAACAGGACTCGTTCTACAACATTCTAGAGGAGAGGGGTACTCTAAATGATTTCAATGATAAGTAGGTGTTCTAGAGTTGTTTCTTGTAAAGGAGTCGTTTGGTTCTACAAAGGCTTTACAAAACCACTATTTTGAGAAAAGCGAGACGCTACCGCTCGCTCAAAAAAAGAAATGACTCCCAATATGAGTACAACAGAAGGCAGTAAAGCCTCTGGTCTGGAGTAATGTGGGAGGTCAATCCAACATCTAGTGGCTCAGAAATAGAGGCTAGAATAGAAAAAGTTGGAGGAATCAATCTAGGGGACTATAGAGAAAGAATAGAAATCTTGATTCTAGAACTGTTTTCAAACTAGATCCAGAAAAAGGTGACAGATTTACGATGCTGCGTAGACGTTATTGCCAGCAAAGACATGAAAGGTCTATAAGTCTTCAAACAGTGGCCTCTAGGCTCGCTTTGAGGTGTGCTTGGAGATTTTGCACAGAAATGGTTCTAGGTTTAGATTGATGAGAAAAAAAAGATGCAGTTCTACAAGTTCTAGATCTAGGAGACTACACATTTCTGCTGTGACCCAGAGCTGGATTTGGAGACTTTTACGGTCGGCGATGTGTTTACCATACTCTCAGGCAGTGACTGAGTTGTGACTGCGCCCAGGGGTTTTGATAAAGCTTCAGATGAACTTGTTTCTGTGGTGTCAGTGGTGCCCTCAACATCCTGAAGAAATATGATCAGGGTTAGAAGCTCACTCAGGTCAGTCAGTTAAATACATTGACCACTTAGTTCTACCATGTCACCAGATAAGGTATCACACGGTTACTCATACACTCTGTTAAGGAACTATGTTACATAATGTTAGAGGATTTTTGATGTTATGTTATCTAGTACAACCCATTGTATTATGAAAAGGAAATGCAATGAGTCTTATTTATTTTCAATCCTTTTTGCCAATAAAACCCTCAAATAAATAAAATCAATAAAACAATGTAATGCCGTCTTTGTTTTCTATACATATACTCACAAATGTATATATTATATACATAAAGGCTTAGTCATAAATTCATTACAAGTTTAAAAAAAATGTTAAAACTAAAACTAGAAAAAAATGTTGTTACACTGTAATTTTTGTGCCCACTTATTCAAACAATGACCAAAACGGTTTAGCAGTCCAAAATAAAAAATCTTTTAATAACTTACATGATGGCTTAAGATATTCTTGATTTTTATTATTTTCATTCTCTACCATATTTGATTAAAAACAGCATTGCATTTGCCCAAGAATACGTCCGTGTAGGTTCTCAGTTATAAAGGTCACGGCAGTCTCAAGAGCTTGAAAAAGAAGGACTTCTCATCCAAGAAGCTTCCTCAGTTCTAAAACCATAAGGTGGATCCCAGGTATTTAACCCCTGGTGGGAGTTATCACCACATGAGCTAACAAGTGGAAAAAGACATGGGTCATTACCACTACAGGTTTCCCAGGCGCCTTAGCCCCCAATCTTCAACCTCCACTCACACCTTACTTAAGGTGACCTCAATACATCACACAATAGGCTGGGGCAAGGTCTCACAGTGATTTCACCTAAAACCCCTGGTGGTACTGACCCACACATGTTTTCATATCTTGGCCCATGTGATGATGCCTTCTTTTTTGGGCTCTTAAGATGTATCCATGAAATACTTATTAAATTCATTACTAATTCATCACTCAGTGGCTTCTCACTGATGAAAGTTTATTTACCTTTGTGTCTTCTGTAGGCTGTTCAGTGCTTTGTCCAGTGGCAGCTTCAGTCTCTTCTGAGGCAACAACCACAGGTTCCTGACACCACAATGACAAATGTTATAGCCTTCTATATAACCAAGCAGACCAAAATGTTAAGCTGCTGAAAATAAAAAACTTTTTTGAGTAAAATGAATTCATTCATCTAAGGTAACACAGTATCCATCTGTAATACATCCATATGCGTGTTTGATACTGTCATATGGAGCAACTAAATCCAGTGTGCAGTAGGGTGGAAGAAGGAAAAGAAATAACTCAAATCTGCAGCAATAGTAGAGATGCATTAATGATCAGGAAGGAATTTAATATCATGAGTAGGGAGATGGTAGTAGGGATGAGGAGGGTGAGGGGACAGTGCCAGCGGTGGAGATCAGAGTGACCCAGCTCAAAGAATGGCAGCGACTATTCATACAGCTGTTACAAATGATGTCATTTGACTGGATTGGTGGGAATCGTGATGTCATGATCAGTCATTGGGTCTCAGGTGTGTTATCAGTTTTAAAAATTTCAAACTTTTCCTATAATTTGTTCCACAACTTGCGATGGAATTTATTATAGCAGATCCCGCCCACCTACACCATAAGCGGGTGACCTCGGGTCACAAAGAACTCCACCAGGAAAAGAACTGTTGAAAACGAGTGAAGGACAGAGGAAGAACAGAGATTTATTGATTTTCCACAGCAGCTCTCACTCATCTTTACCTCTGGTGAAGAGCCCAGGAAAACATCCCAGAGCCACCAATAAAAACCTCCTCCACCTTCTTCCACTCTCTGTTCCTCACTGCTTTTTTTTTCTGTGGCTTCTTCAGCCTGGAGCACGCCTTGATGCTTCCGCTGCTGACACGGAAACACGCTTACAGTATGTGTAGAGTGACACAAGTGGGGGTTAAAAATCTAGCCTGGCCAGTTTTGAGTTTTTATTGTTTCCAATATTTTCTTTGATATTAAGTAAAATTAACATTTTGTTTTTAATGGCCACTAACAAGTTATACAACAGTAGAAGACTTCTTAGATGTGCAAAATAGATCATGTGCTTCCCTGTAAAGCCTTAAATTGATATGACTCATAATGTTATATCTACTTGAAGCTTCTAGTAAATACACTGCTCAAAAAAATTGAACTGGAAAGGATCAGCCTACAGCTGGCTCAATTCAAACACGCCCTGAAAATCAAAGTAAAAGAATTTGTGTCAGGCTAGTCAAATGCTTTGTAGCAACTAGTTTTTTCATGGCCTTTGGATGCTTGTATGTATGCCTGACAACACTGGTGTATGCTCCCAAAAAGGCAACAGCTGGTTTCACCTCCCATAATGTCCCCGAGCTGTTCTGTATTCTCACCACATGAAGCTGGGCATTGTGGTGCACCAGGAGAAACCCAGGACTCACTCTACCAGTGTAGGGTCTGCCTAGCCTGTAGAGGTCTGTGTGTTCTTCCATGGATATGCCTCCCCAGACCATCACTGACCCATGCATAGCTGAATCGGTCATGCTGATCAATGTTACAAGCAGCATAATGTTCTCTGTGGCTTCTCCAGGACGTGGGCCCTCAGGCCATCCTCATGAAGTCTGTTCCTGATTTTTTGGTTACAGACACTCACACTAGTGACCTGCTGGAGATCATTTTGTAGCATGTGGTGCTGATGCAAGCTGCTCATGGGTTAAGGACTTTCTTTGTCCCTTTTTTCAGCTGTCCTAGAGTAACTGCCTGTCTCCTGGAAACTCCCCCATTCTCTTGAAACTGTGCTGGGAGTCACAGAAAACTTTCTCTGCAACTTAACTGACCAGATCAACATCCGAGAAGTATAACTGACCTGATTAAAAAGTGTCCATTTTTTTGAGCAGGTTACAATGCAGATAATTGAAGCAACATATTTACTTGAAGTATTTTACATATCTTGCCAACCTTCAATATTTATTGTTGTTTTTTTATCATTTATTCAAATTATTTTCTCTAAGTTCAAACTAATCTTGTCAATAATTAAAATATCTTTCTGTTAATGAGTGCACAATTGTCCTAGTCTGAGAACTTGAAATGTCTTGAACACTCACACACACACACACACACACACACACACACACACACACACACACACACATACACACACACGGCGCACAAAGCACACAGACATACATAAGCAGTGTATTTATCACTCAAACTTGTCATCCAAATATTACAACTGTCATGTGTTGTG